GGAATGTTCAAGGCCCTTCCCAGGACTTACCACCTCCAGAAAGTCTGCTCCTCACAAAGGTTCCTCAGCCTTCTGGACCACTGGGGAACCAAGTATTCACACACATAAGCCTATGGGAAAACATTTCATATTTATACACAGCTAACCACTGAAAACTCTTATGACTTAAAAGCTTATCATTGTTTTTAAAATTCAGTTGCTTGATGTCTTAGAAACATTTTGTCTAATGGAGACCCCAGTTTCTCCTTTGATCAGGATCTGCCTTAGGAGTTGAAGACTATAAAGAACTGTTAGTAGAGCCCATTCTTTCTATACTTTATATCTATTGTTTGATCTCACTTCAGAGCAACGTACTTCCTTGTAGTATCAAGTTCCTCTAATTTCCTACCTCCATGCTTTTTATATCCCTCTGGAGAAAACCCTTCCAGGGCATGACCTGAAGAATTCTGGTTCAAATTTCCAAATGAATCTGAACCAAAGCTAATCTATAATTTGATGGAGGGCACCTTCATTAACTATCCTAGTGAGGCAAGTTTTACTGTTTCGTACCAGACTTAGGTACTTTTCTTGACATATTGAGGTTGAACTTTGACATTTATGGGAATATAAACTGCAGTGGCACATTGTAACATGCCGCAAGTCTAGCAGAGCCTTGGCTCAGGGTTTGCTTTCTTTAAAACTTCCATTAAACATAGTAGTGTTTCTGATTATTTTTCCTTCAAACATTAGCAAGATATGTCTGATTCTCCGGAGAGATGTTTTCTTTAGTTATTCCTATAATTTATAGGTCTGCATGGGGCATATCTTTATGCTTTTTATTTTGTCTTGCAAATTCAATTTAATAAGTAAGGCTGATTGGCTTTGTTTTACAACCGGACTCTGGTTCTCTAACTGAGAGACTTGACTCATGTGTTCTGTTTGGGTCCTCTTTCTCTGTCTTCTTACTGTCTCAGAAGTTTTTTTAACATTACAGCTTTAAGCTGTCCCTCCCCACTTTTTTCCGTGTGTGTGTGTGTGTGTGTGTGTGTGTGTGTGTGTGTGTGTGTGTATGTGTGTGCTTCGTGTATATACATGTATGCATGCATGTTGCATGTGCTTGGGGAGCACATGTGTGTATGCAGGTGCACATGTGTGTACATATGTATAAAGGCTAGAGGCTAAAGTTGGGTGCCTCCCTCAACTGGTTTCTCTGTATTGAGGCAAGGTATCTTACTTGAATCCAGAGCTCATTAACTTAACTAGTCTAGTTAGCCAGTTTTTCTGAAGATCTTCCCCAATCTCCTCATTTTTGCTGGCTGAGGTGACAAGCAGGCTGCCATGTGCACCTGGCATTCATGTGGGTTCTGGGAATCCAGATTCACATCCTCATGCTTGTGAAGTAACCCTTTGCCTGCTGCGCCCATCCCCTAAGACCACTATTCCCTTTGAAAGCGGACCCATAGCCATTTAGTGTTACTGTCCTACCACTGTTAATATGTCATCTGAAATTAAACTTGGCATTTTCCCACAGCTTTTAATCTGTATTTGCCTATATATTTACCAGACAGCAGCTCGCTTGAAGACCTTCTTGTATCTTGTTATATGCCATCTGGGCAGGTCTTCTGAAGCAGCATGGTCAAAGGGAAAAGAAAAGAACATTATGTTTTGATGACAAGCTGATATTTGGTGTCCCCCTGCTGGCAAGTTGACTGAACCTTGTCTTCGGTGACAGGCAACACACACGTTTATTCATTAGATTCACTGTGAATTCTGTTTCTATGATAGGTGTGCTACTCCTGAGCTTGACTACCAGCAAGAAAACTATCTCTGGTTATAAAGGAGACTAAAGATTCCCCTACTGGGGCTAGACAGAGTTTCTGCATATCATGTGGAAGACCCTAGTTCAATAACCAGTACAACTCCTCCCTGGAAAAAATATATCTATGGACTGGAAGTTTAAATTAAAAAATACAGTCTAAACCCAGTGGCTGGCTATGAACCGTGCTAAATCATTATATTATTGTAATTGTTTGTAGAAAAAGTGTGGACTAGACATGGCCTCATTTCTTGCACCACTGTGAGTGAATGCTGGGTATCCCTTCATTTTTCTTTTTGTTTACATTTTTTATTCATTTTCATTTTAATTTCTAAATTAAAATTTTAAGTGGGAGCATCCAGTGACCTGAGATTAGGTCACATTCCCATGCTTGCTACCAGACAGCAAGGAGAGAAATATTCTGAGTTCTTCATGGTGCGTGAACATGTGTGTACATGCTTGCGTGTGTACATATGGGCATGTGTGTGTGTGTGTGTGTGTGTGTGTGTGTGTGTGTGTGTGTATGTGTGTAACACAAATTGTTAAATAGTCTGATTAATAAAGAACGCAGAGCCAGGTATTGGTGTGAAAGCTGAAAGAACAGAGGGATAGGACAAGCCAGCCACAAGTTCTTACTGCTAGGAAATCCTCAGTCCAAGAGAGCTACTTCCTATATACCCACACCTATATACCTTTCTCTGCCCTGCCATCTCATTTCCTCTTTCTGCCCTGCTCTATCACTTCCTATCTGTCTGTACAAACCTCCAGACATCTATGGCTAACTAGTACTGGAATTAAATGTGTGTGCCACCATTCCTGGCTCTGTTCCCAGTGTGGCCTTGAACTCACAGAGATCCAGATGAATTTATGCCTCTCGAATACTAGGATTAAAGTGTAGTTGGAAGTTTTCCTATGTCCTGGCCAGCTGGTGATCAGGACAGATCTTTCCCACTCATGTCCCCCAAGTAGACACACAGAGGCTTATATTAATTATAACTGTTCAACCATTAGCTCAGGCTCATTACTGACTAGCTCTTACACTTAAATTAACCCATAATTCTTATTTATGTTTAGCCACATGGTTTGGTACCTTTTCTTAGTTCTGCCTTATCTTGCTTCCTCTGTGTCTGGCTGACAACTCCTGACTCAGCCCTTCCTCTTCCCAGAATTTGCCTTGTCTGTTCACCCTGCCTATACTTCCTGCCTGGCTACTGGCCAATCAACATTTTATTTATCAGCCAATCATAGCAATACATTCATAGCATAAAGAATGACATCCCACAGCATATCTCCTTTTCTGTCTAATCAAAAGGGAAAGTTTTGACTTTAACATAATAGAATGAACAGTTATCAAACAGGAATTACAATATTTAGTCCATTTGTATCTGGCAAAATTCAAGAAAATATTCTATCTATCCTATATTTATGAGTCTAAAGTTTCATATCTAATTTATCTTTTATTATAACCAAGGAAAATTATAGTTATAACTATTTAATCTTCAACTACATCAAAGACCTCAGAAGAATATAATATTACCGAAGTAAACAGGAAGAACTTTGTAAGCAACTTCCAAAATTCTAGAATGACAGAGACAGCTGGCTGCCTGTCAGTCACCCAAAGTTCCTCTGCAATGTTGGGGCATCTGTCTTCAGCCCATAGGCCTAGAGTCTCTCAGTCACTTCTTCCTGTGTCCTGTAGAATGTATGTCAGTTTCTTCTGTGAAGCAGGAACCTGAAGGACCATCTCGCCTTGCAAAGTTCAGTGGTCACCTTCCTATGGGTCTTGCATGTCCAGTTTATACAACATTCAAGGCATGTGCTACCACTGACTGACCTCTATGTTTAATATAGTGGCTGGCTTTGTCCTCAGATCCCCAGGCTTTATTTGTTAGACCACAAATAAAATATCACCCTGTGTGTGTGTGTGTGTGTGTGTGTGTGTGTGTGTGTGTGTGTGTGTATGAAGGCACATGTGTGTGTATGTGTGTGTATGTGTTTGGAGAGAGAGAGAGAGAGAGAGAGAGAGAGAGAGAGAGAAAGAGAAAGAGAGAGGAAGCAGAATGACTTTCTACTCCAGAATATATTTTACATCCAGTGTGCTTATATATGCATGCCCATGTGTATGTGCACGTGCCCATGTGCACACAGGCAGAAGCCCAAGGAAGACATCAAGTGTCTTCATCTGTCACTTTCCACCTCAGTGTTTGAGACAGGGTCTCTTACCAAACTTGGAGCTCACTTCTTAGCTGTACTGACCAGCAAACATACATCGTCCTCCTATGCCTGCCTCCCATGCTGGGAATACAGACATGCACTATCACACCACATAGGTATGTGGGTGCCAGGAACATGAATTTGGGTCATCATGATCTCACAACAAGCACTTTACTTACTGAGCCATCTCCAAAGCCCAAAGTACTTGGTTTTTAAAATGTTATTAATTTTAATTAGCATCAAACAATTGGCCTCATGATGTTTTCATACATATATCATTATATTTTACTCATACTCATTCCTGGAACCACCATCCCCATCTATCTACTTTCATAGTTCTGTTTCTGTTTCTTTGTCTCATGTTTATATGTGTGTGAGAGAGAGAGAGAGAAAGAGAGAGACAGAGACAGAGAGACAGAGACAGCAAGAGAGCATGTAAAATGAATATATAATTTCTTAAATCTTCCAAATGTTCACTATGTTTACTTTTAAAATGCACAGCTAGGGGCTGAAGAGATGGTAGTTTTAAGTGTTTATTGCTTTTGCAAAGGACCCAAGTTAATGGGTCCCTTTGGCTTCTTTGAGAACCTGCAAGCACATGGTGCACATAAACTTGTACAGATACACATTTATACATATAAATACATTTTAAGTTGATACCTAAATATTTTGACAAGACTATTTAAATCTTTTTGGGGGTTATCATTTTGTAACTGGAGAATCTTTATGTATTATTTGAGTTATCTTGAAAAGGAAATTACCTTTTCCTATGACAAATATGTAAATATTAATTACCAATACATACCCAATGGGATTATGCTAGGATACCATTTGTAGTACTTTAAAATAATAGTAAGTTCATTTCAGACTTTTTTATGGGAACTTACTGTTTAGTCAATGTGGCTGTAATTTTCTTAAGTTACTGTCATTCTGCTCCTCAATGCCTCAATTTTAAAATACATGATAGAATTTTTTATTTTTCCTTTGACAGACAAGCTAGCCTCAATGAAGCAGCTGAGAAGTATTATGATCTGGCAGCAAGATTGAGACCTAATGTAAGTACTTTCCCAGTAGGCACCATTGTTGAAGGCTTGTTCCTAGAGCATGCAATGGTGATTGTCATTTATGCTGCCTTGTTTCATCTTTTCCTCCAAGGTTTCTCAGTTTCAATGCCCACTGTATAGCCCCTCTAATAATACACCATCCATGTGGTTGAAGTTTCTTTGTCTTCCCCAGAAATTTCTCTCCTCCCTTTGTAGATCGCCATTAACTTTCATTATTTGAATACAGGTTTGATCATTGCTAGATATCTTTTATTTTGGTGAATCTTCAAATTAACTCTATGAAAGCTTTTATTGTTCCTCTAGTGATAAATACTTACTGTTTGCCTTCCACTGCATTTGAACCTTCAGCTGTGTACCTATTTCATATTCTAAAGTCCTCATTTTTCATAACTTGGCTTTGCAAGTTTATCAATGATGTTTTCATTACAAGTTTTCCCTGGGTACTCTCACTTCCAGAAAGTAAGATGGATATAAATTAGATCATTACTGTTGGAATAGAATTACTATTTATAAAAAGCCAAGAGCTGCTCTTACAGCAGCCTGACGAGCAGGATTTTCGCAGCCCTGAATTCCTATACTGACCATTTGTTCTCATATACATTCTGCACCCCTGTCCAACAGCAAAATTTTCTCTCCTGCTCTTCAAATATAGACACTGCATTTGAGAAATGCAATTTTCATCCTGTAATGAAAATACATGTGTGGGTGCAATACAAATACTAGAATCAGTCTAATTTCTTTGTAGTGTTTCATCTATTGGGCAAATACATATAAACGGGCTGCTTTGAGAAGGAGGCAGAGATTCCAGAACATGAAGTATATTAGAGAAAGAGTATATTCAACTAATTGATATAGTGCTGTGACTCCTTTAGAGCTGTAGTCTTGCTTTGTTTTCCCCATAAGATTTAACTATAATGAGCTGAACCATGTATATAAATATCGTTTCATTAATAGTAATATATTATCATATAAACAGGAATATGTTGAAGTCTCATAACAAAAGAAAGACTAGCATAGAAAAAGCATACACGTTCATCTAAGATTTTATCACAAAGGAATCTTCAGCAATGAAGACCCAAAGAAGGAGAGGGAAGGTTTGTGTGGTTTCTGTTTGTTTGTTTTTTATAGCCATTGGTGTTCAAATACAACTGGCAGACTGAGGAGTATGATGCAGAAGTAATAGGTGAAGGGGACTGCAGCAGGTTCGGAAGTGATGGATGGAGGGCACTCTGGCAAGGTCCAGTTGCTCAGATTCTATGTCCCATCACCAGAGATAAAGATATAAATATCTGCCTTAGCACTTCCTTCACAAGAGAGAACAAGGAAAGGCCATAGGACCACTGTGCTTCTGTACTCTTCCCAGCTCTCTTTATCTCAGATTTCCAAGAATCCATGTTTTGCCACGGCTGTTCTGAACCACTTCACATAGTTATGAGATAACTGAGGAACTGGCAAGCTGTTTACAACAGGAGGAAATAATCCTAATGGCAGGAGCAATGACAGCTAGAGTTTATTGTGCATTCATTTGTTACTCTCTTTGCTAGATAGTTCATCAGAATTTGTTTATTGTAACTTGCAGCTGCGTTTATGGTCTCAACGGTGCTAAAGGGTGGAGAAGTTAATGCTTCACCTGGCAGCACAAATTTAGAGAGTCACTTTGTCATTTAGCCTACTGTCTGCAAAGAAAGAAAGCTTAATGAATTCCAAAGGGGGCTGGGGGGAGGGGTCTATACTACAAGAGGAAATATACATCATTTATCTGGCAAACCAGCTTAGCAGTCAACTTGTTTACTTATTTTGCATGTTTACTGAACATCGAGTACTATGCGAGGCACTGGACACAAAGCCTCCCTTTCGAGAACTGAGTATCTGAGCAGAAGAGAAGAAAGAAATAAGGAAACTATATAATCTCTTAGGCAGTGGTGTGTTTGGAGGGAAATGAAGCAGTATGGGGGTTAGGAATGCAACAGAACAAAAACTTTGTAAAGGTTTGAGTGTGACATCCCCATGTAGTTTTAAAAACAAAAATGTTAAGTCTTAAACCTGCATTGGCATCAAAGGCAATCAACAGAGAGGTTCGTTTTCCTTCTCCATTTATGTTGATCCATGTTATGATCATATGTAATAAAACATATATAAACTTCATAATCATTAAGATGAGGTCACTTTCATTTTTCCTGTGTGATTGGGTGAATGATGGTCTTTACCACAGTATAATAGAATAGGGAAAAACAAGTGTCTGAGCTTAATGAGCCTCTAAAACAGACAAAGGCATCTAGGTACTACAGACTGCAGGCCTGACTTATGGGGTTGCTTTTTTTTTTAAATGACTAGGCAAATCATAAAATCAATATTTAATCTCCAATGCAGAGCCTCTTTTCCAAGAGACCCTCAATTATTTCATCCCGAATGTGCTACAGATTGCTTTTGAAAATGCATTTTATTCAAATGATCCTTTCCATATCTGGGAAGAGTGCTTTTTTATGGGCTTTGCTATAAAGTTCATATTAAAGAAAAAGTTAATTGTATTATAATTAATTGGCCAACACATGTGCATTTTTTTCCCAATTAATTTTCTAATCATTTGGGTTTTCAGCTGATACTCTAGTGTACATAAAGTGTGACTGAGGCCAGAATGATGGAATTATAAGCCATGCCAATATTATAATTCTTTTCTGAAACAGAGAACTATTTGAGCAACTTAATCCTGCATTTGATCTAAATCAAAGCACCTGCCTAACATTTATCTTGCTGCACATTTCCTTTGTTCATAAAAGCTTTCTTGTCCTTGCCAGACTTAATTGAACAAATGCTGTTGTCATTTACCTGATTATATGAGGAGAGCGCTAATGGATATCAATTCTCCTTGCCTATTTAAATAGTTCCACTTCCTGTTCTTTTTTAGTTTACTCATCTACACACTGAACAAGTCTTACTCCTACTTTATGTCATAGAGTTTCTCTTCTGTTTGCTTAAGTAAATACCATTTCCACTGTATTATTCATCAGAACACTGTATGAGGGTAACTGAAAAATCTAACAGTGCTTATGTGAGGTCATAACTGTGCAAAACAAAGTGGGTGGCTTGTGTGATGACTATTATTATCACCATGTTTACATTGTTATTGATGGTGATGGAGAGATGTCTCAGTGGGTAAGGGCATAACTTCACCTCCTAGCAGCCATTTTAATACAACCTCTAACTCCAGTTCCAGGGATGCCCTCTTCTGGCCTCCATGGGCACTGTGCTCATGTTTACAACCCCCACTGTCCCCCACCCCAACATGTTCACATAATTTAAAATAAAATCTTTTTTTAAACATTTTTTTTATTTCTAGGGTATACTTATATCTTAATAAAGTATGATTTCACTTCTTTTAATATTTCCTGTATTTTTTATTATGCAAAAGCATATTGGTCTACAGAATTTATTTTGAGATGAATTGACCTTTTATAGTGTAGCCTTAGTGACAAAGTGGTAGAATGATGAAAGAGGACTAATTGATTAGGAGTGGGATGTAGTTTTATATTTTGCGTTGTCTGCCTCAGCAGTGTTCACTATGTTGCCTTGTTGAAGGGCGCAAGTAGAGAATTGTGATTGTTGACAGCATACATCATAGGTATATTTATTACAGCATGGCACACTTCATCTTAAAATTTTATTCTATTGACATTGTGGGGAAATTGCTCTAAAAGTAGATTATATCAAAGCATTTTTACAGTAAAAAAAAAAAAAGGTTTTATTGGTGTTATATTTTAGGTTTTGTTAGTTTTCATTTTTATAAGTTAAGTTGAGCCTTGTATGGAATTAACTCTGTGACAGTTCTTCTCCATCTACCTCCCCCAATCCAATTATGCACAGCAAAAACTGCTGACTCTCAAGAACTAGAGGGAACATTTAAAGACAACTATTTTGTTCTTTGATTGGGAATGAAGCCAAAGTCTGCATTATCTTCAGGATAAAAGAATTTAATGTGAAGAATGGGGAATTTGCATGGTACAAAGTCACCTACCTTTGCTTGACTTCTCATCCACTCTGGAGTCCAGAGGACAAAATTCTCAGTGCTTGGGTTTTCAGGGCAGACTTGTTTATGATCTATACTCATTCCAGTCAATTTTAATTCAAATGTCAACATTATATACGACTCTATGTCTAATGAAATAGTGTTTCAAAGTTATAAAAATTTAACTCTGACCTTGGGAAATATACAATATAATGTAGGAAAGCAGGGGAAGAGAGGACATGTAAATCTCAGTCCTTGACTCTCAGAGCAGTAAATAATGCTAATAAGGGCTTTGTGGGGTACACAAATTGGGTGCTAAATAAATGGATAGGAGAAATTATTTTCACCTGGGTTGATCTAAAAAGGTTTTGAATTCAAGTAGGAAAGCCTAAAGAAGCTGTAATAATAGAAATTTTATTGGCAATTTTAGCAAGAAGAGGAGAATTTTGGCAGTGGGGTCAGGTCATACTCATACATAGAGGCAGGGAGGATGAGAGGAAATTGATAACTCTTATAAAAACAGACAAAAGGCATTGAGTATCACACTTATAATTCAGAAGTCTATGTTCTGTAATTTTGAATAACAGTGTGATATAATGAAAGTAATAATTAAGATGACATGAAAATATGTATTGTGTTCGGAGAAGTAGGATTGAGAGACCCACCTCGATAGGACCAAATAAAGGACCATTGTAAGTATCAGGCAGTCAAGAGTAAAAGCATGAATAGAGAGGAGTGGAGGAAACATACATAACCCAAGTAGTAGTTGATAGCATGTGAGTAGAAAAATTAGTTGTTCACCTAAGTGCTTCAAATTTTGAATTTAAGGTAACTTGGAAACAAAAGAAATACCATAAACAGAAATGAGATCATCAGAGGGTTGTGTTTATTTGAAGAATACATTCTTAAGCATAGACTTATGCTGGGGATATCTGTCTGTATGCTGTGAATGTGTTGCTCTGATTGATTGATAAATAAAATGCTGATT